CTCTTTTTCTTTGTTTTACTTGCCCTGTTGATTATTGAAATTATGCAGATTTGCAAATTGGGTTACTTTTGATTTTTGGAATCAGCTTGAAGTTTATTGATGAACATAACCGAAACACGAATGCTTTGTTGGTTTTAGCGCGTCAACATGTTTAATTAAGAAATATGTTGTTTGGAACTATCATTATCATAAGCATTGCAATTGATTTTGTTAATAATCTGAACTTGGGCACAAAATCTAGTGGATTTTATAACCCATTTGTCAACAAGTTGCACTAGTCAATTTCAGTTTTGATCTTGTTGATTTATAAGCTGCAATGCTGCTGCTTGTTCTCTTCTCTTTGGGAGATCACTGACACCCATGCATGGATGATTCAGGGTGCATCTATTGTAGGACTAGCATAGTCTTGTTGCAGGAACATGGCAAAGCATCATCCTGATCTGATTATGTGCCGGAAGCAACCAGGAATAGCTATTGGAAGGTTGTGTGAAAAGTGTGATGGTAAGTGTGTAATCTGCGACTCTTATGTGCGTCCATGCACACTTGTTCGGGTCTGTGATGAGTGCAACTATGGATCCTTCCAGGGAAGGTGTGTTATCTGCGGAGGGGTTGGAATTTCTGATGCTTATTACTGCAAAGAGTGTACTCAGCAGGAGAAAGATAGAGATGGGTGTCCGAAAATTGTGAATCTGGGAAGTGCCAAAACAGATCTTTTCTACGAACGGAAAAAGTATGGTTTCAAGAAAAGATGATCATTAGCAGGGCAAGTTTTGCTTAGCTTCGTGAAAACACTCTGTTTTGTTCGACATTGAGGCTAGCCTATATTTGCTATAAGGCGCTTTTGCTTAGGAAATGTGCTTCTTACTGCTTGTATTTCTTCATGTTTGACCGCTGCGATGGGTTGTCTTGGTTGTATGTTGGATATGTTTCCATGATCAAACCTTCACGCTATCTGTATCAAGTCTAGTTAAGGAATTTTTGACTGGTGTAATTCTCACGCGTGATTTGTG